AAAAAAAGGCTGTGCAGTCATGGCGATAACAGCACAACTTTTAGCAGCAGGAATCCAAGACTGGAATCCAGGAACAGATCTTACATGTGCAAATCCACAGACATTCTTGATCGGTGCAGCAGAAAGGTATAAGAGATTGTATCTTGGATTCATTCTAGATTTCATTTGGATATACGCAATTTACCCTGCAAGGTTTGTATCCTGAAAAAAAATTGTCATCCATGATTCTCCTTAAAAGCACGGCTTGAACTCTCGCTTGGCTTCCTGACTCTGTTTCATGCCCAGCCTCGGACTCTCCCGAGCAGTGTGAGGCTGTGGAGAAGTACTCCGCGATCAAGGAGTTTGCCTCTGCCATCCCTAACCAGCTGCTGCTGGGCTCTCTCCTGGAGCACCTGTGCTGTGTGTACGAGAAGGAGCCACACCGCTCACACCTCCTGTTTAAAGGTCAGTGGTGCCCAGTGATTCCTGTCCGTCTTACCCTGTCCATTACAAACTGGACATTGCCTGTGCTGGCAGCTGCCCAGCTATTTCTGTGTTGTAACACAGAGCTCATCACAACACTGTTTAACTATCCAGTGCAGAGTGTTTTAGCTGTGTAACAGCAGGATATTTGAAACTACGCCTCACCATTAAACAAAAGAGGTAGATGTACCATAAGTTTGTTTCTTATAAGAATTTTTTTTTTTAATGTTGTCTAAACTCTCATCAGTTCTTCCTGTGACTGTATAGGATCCACATGTGTGTATATATAGACAGGGTAAAGAGTAGATCTAAAGTGGTACTGCATTTCCAGAATGGAAGCAACATTTTCAAATCTCCCACCCTTTTTTCAAAATCTCACTGGAAAAGGATGCTTCTCCTTTATGAATATAAGACAATAGAATAAGGGTCTAAGATTCACTTCCTGGGGGCCCTGAGGTCTTAGTTGTCAAATAAAGCATTTAAATTTGAAATCATTTCTAATTATTGTCTAAATTAGACCTGTATGGGGTTTTTATTAAGGTCATTTACAGGTGATTATACAAGACTGCTGCTCTCCTCATTCTCCTCTGTACCTGGTTCGCCCCCCCAGGAACTGGGTTAGAGCCCCGCGGTGGGGTTTTCTTTCCTGCTGTGGGTTTTATCCTCCGTCTCAGAACCCACCTTCTCACTCGTGCCCCTGCTTGTGTTCCCCCAGTGATCAGCCAGCAGCTGGCCGCGATGAACCTGCTGTCCCCCTTGGCGTTCAGTGATGAGTTCAGCACGGTCAGGCTGCAGCACAACCGGGCCTTCACAGAGCTCCTACGCGCTGCCAGCAGCACCATCCACTCTCAGGTCAGAAAGAGCCCCCTGTACGGGCTGTATTAGTACTCCAGAGTGGGGCTGCCTCTACTGCCTGCTCCCAAGTGCTGGGGCATTAGGAGAGTAGGCTGAGTTTTGGGATGTGTTTTAACTGTTGGTTTTAGATTTGCTCATCTCCTCTTCCCCTCTTTTCCCCTCTCTGTAAGCGGGTTTGTTACTCTGCTTCCACCTGTGAAGTGCTTTGGGACGAAGTGAAGGGATTATTACCGAGTTCTCAAAGAGCTCCACAATACTGGCTATGGTTTTGTGTCTGTTACAGGGCTGATTTTGATTTACACCAGTGGTTGCCACAAGGGTATCCTCATCCAGGGCCAGTCACAAGCCCTGCCATCGACGAGCTGCTGACCCCCGATTTTCACTGTCCGCACTACAGTGATCCCTTTTTGTTTAATAATATCTCCTTTAGGGGTCTCCAACTGTAGTTCTGCAGAGCCCTAGTCCAACAGGTTTTAGAGACAGTCTTTAAATGACCAAATTCTAAAGACCTGGAACAAGTTAGTCATGTCATGAGACTGTTTAGAACAAAAGTCAGAATATCCTTCAGCCCTGCGGGAGCAGTGTTCATCAATAAACTGCCATTAAGACGGGATTTTGGGTGACCAGACCACGTTTGAAAGCCACTGATATAAATATTTATTTCAAAGGTTGAAAAATGATGTATTTCTCTTGTGTTTTTCAGGATCGTAGACTTCTGGGTAAAGGCGCCCAGGGCCACACGGTCAGGTAAGAACCATTGTGCTTTTAGCTGCTTTGAATATTGACCACTTCCCCCAGTGTGCCACTGTCAGTCTATAATATGGGTATGCATGTTAGCGTGTGCAAATATATATGATCTTCTGTTCTGTTAGATCCAAAGAGGACCTTTTCCAAAGACAGACATCCCGATATCTCAGTGAGTTTGAGGAGATATCCAAGCTTGGAAAGGGGAGCTATGGAAAAGTTTTTAAGGTACGGTTGTGCGTTTTACTCTGGAATTTAACACGAGAACAGTGATTAAAAATGCTGACAAGTTATTTGTGGTTTTCTGGCTTTGCACACTTTCTCACTGCATTAAAACCAGGTAGAACCCAGGACTCTAAAGAAATGGCTTTACTTTTAGGTGAAGAACAAGCTGGATGGCCAGTATTACGCAGTGAAGAAGATTCTCATCAAGAAAGCTACAAGGAATGACTGCATGAAGGTACGTTGTTGGCTTTTTGCCTCAAACAAATTTCTATGGCTCTATCCTTTCGAAGTTCAGTGCAAAATGTGTTTAAGGGGTTCTTAAACTCTACCTGATATGCGTCATCCCAGTAAGTCCTGAAAGTGAAATGAACTAGATCTTGTTAATCTGACAGTGGCCGGTGGGGGGGATATTATGTACATGTAGAAATATCCTTTATGGGCTTCATTAAGAGTTTTTTATACTTGTGATAGAAATGCCTTGCTGAAGCCAGTGTAGGTATGAAACGTACCAAATTATTTTTCAAACATTCATAATCCTGTGTACCCAGGTGCACCCAGCAGCACCATTTCCGGCTCACGTTGTCCCACACGTGGTGCCACGGCTGTTGTCCAGCTCTCCAGCCAGTGTGGGACCCGGGACCCGGGACCACACACACGTGCGCTTGCGTGGGACGGCCACGCGGGCTGACTTGGCTTTGTCTCGCTGCAGGTCCTCCGGGAAGTGAAAGTACTGGCGGGTCTTCAGCATGCCAACATAGTGGGCTATCACACTGCCTGGATGGAGCACGTGCAGCCTGCAGGGAAGAGTAAGCCCCCTAAACTCCCAGCGGTGCAGACCACCTGCGTGCTTGTGCAACGCTAAGATAACTGCAATGAAGTGAATCTAGACACAGTGGGGTACACCTGGGGAGTGTCAGCATTTCCAGCTTCAGAGCATGGGGATGTTCGCAGAGGTGTAAGGGTCACAGATAAGAGACTTATCAAAGCAGTTGTGACGTTTACCTTGGTTTCCTTTAGTCCATTAAGTTCTGTGTCAACCGACAGTCTGGAACAGGGCATAAAATAGGCAGATAGATGGGGGGAGAGAGAGGGAAAAGGAACTTATTGAAGGTGAGAGCCCCTTATTCAGATCTGCCGGAAAGACCAGATTGGAGTTAAGTATTTGAACCCTGTTAAGGGAGCTTGCTATTCTGTGGTCGTTAGGATAGATTCACATTAATTTTGTGCCATTTGGGTAAAATGAAGATAATCTTCAGAGATCCATGTAAAGATTATCAATTGATCGACCACAATAATGAAAGCTTTTTTCTATACAGCCTTGAGTTATTTTTCTTTCTGTCTCTGACTTTAGGCACGGCATCTTTGCATAATAATTTGCTAGCACTGGAGAGACCGTCGCAGATGGAGGAGTATGTGAAACGTTCTATTTATTTATTTTTTTATTTTCAGTGAATGAAAGAAAGCGAATAAAATAGGTTTTCTAAACATTTTACAGTGGTTCTGTGTTGAGCCACCAGCAGTGCAACTCGGTACGATTAACTGTGCTGCAGCTCTGTTCAGTGACGTTCCTCATGGGCATCGCTGGTGTTGTCTGGGGCTGAAAGCGGGCACTTGATGGGAAAAAAAAATGTTCCCCTCTTTGTCTTGTCCCGCTCACAGTGGCGAGGAGAGCAGTAACAGCAGCAATGGCGTCTCTGTAGTCTTTGAGAGCTCTGCCGCTTCAAAGAAGGCAAAGGAAGACGTGGCGATGCCAAAACCCCTGCCACAGGACTCGCAGGGCACCGGCGCCCAGAGGCAGGAGCAGAAGCCTGCAGTGTGTCCCAAAGGAATGCACAACCCGAAGGGCTCCATTCCCTGCGTGTATTTAGGACCCTCTGGCCAGGCGGCAGAGGGCTGGGATGGAGCGGTGCTTGCAGAAGAGGGCTGTAGCAGGGACAAGCTGAACCTCCAGAGCTCCTGCCTGGAGGGGGACAGCCAGACGTGGAGCAGCGTGTGCCCGCTGAGGGAAGCCTGCGTGCACCGATCCTCGGAGGTATGGGCACTGCACACAGAGACCCACAACCCCTGGCAGTGCGGTGGCAGCGTTCTGGGCAGAAACGCTCCCCCCAGCTCAGGGGCGACCCCGTTCCTTCCCGGTGCACTCCAGTCACGTTAAAAAGTCGACAGTGTTCAGAGCCGAAGAGAACGACATGGTTTTTTTTGACCCCGTGTTGCAGGTGCAGTACCACCTCATGCTGTACATCCAAATGCAGCTGTGCGAGAGCTCCCTAATGGACTGGATTCTGGAACGGAACGAGAGGCCCGCGGCGGATTCTACTGCAGCCGCCTCCGGTAAGGAAGACTGTACCTGTGGGGCTCGGCCCTTGCCTGTTCCACAGAGAGGGGTGTTGGGTCATCCATTTAATCTCCAGGTGGATGCTGCGTGTAAAGCCTTCTGGTTTTGTTTTCAACCTGTAGGGTACAGCCTTGTGGACACCAAGCTCACAATGAGCATCCTTGGTCAGATACTGGAAGGTGTGCAGTACATTCACTCCAGAGGGGTCATGCACAGAGACCTGAAGGTGAGTTTCTTGGACTGTACTGACTGCACTGCTTTGCTACTTATGGAATTTACAATTATTTTATTCTTATAAACAGTGGCCCTTCCAAAAACGGTTTTAGGTCACCTAATATGTCAGCTTTGTAATTTAGAGATAAGAGCTTAATGAGGCTAACGGAGTAATCCAGTGAAAACCACAGGAACAGACACAGAGGTCTACCCCTTTTCTAGGATCTCTGTTGAATTATCCTCATAGGTCCTCCTTGTCTTGGATTTGAGGTGCTCAGCAGCAGTACAAGAGAATGAAGGATGACACAGGGGCTGCTTTGCTTTTCGTCAGTATTTTATTGCCCTTGCTTGCTATATTGCATTGGTGATTTGCCCAAGAAACCTTGGCAACCGAGACTCGTGCTAATCAATCCTCGAGGTTCGGTCCTCCAGGTGTTCTGCTCGAGTTCTCTTTGAGCCCTGTTTGCCTGCTGCTGCCTGTGGCACAGCGCCCTCTGCCGGGGATGGAATCCCAGTTGCTGTAGACGAAGTCAAACAGCGCCTGTGGCACAGCGTCTTTCAGGTGCGTTCTGAGCTCTGCCCCGTATTGCTGGCGGACCTTGATCCTGCAGATGTCCTGGAGGCGTAGGGGCTGCTGGGAGAGGAGCAGCAGGAGTTCCCTCTGGAAGCAGCTCTCTGGGCGCGTCAGGCCGCCGGGCAGGTGGCCTGCCCCGTTGGTGAGCCTCAGTGGGTATGTGAGGCTGAGTAGCTTGCCCAGCAGCGAGGCGCACTGCAGGTTGGGCCCCCGGTCCAGAAACAGGAAGAGGCAGTTCTCCCCGGCGGCCGTGCGCAGGTTGACATTGCCGCCGTACAGCAGCAGCAGGTCCACCACCTCCTCGCGGCCCCCCCGGCAGGCGTCGTGCAGGGGCGAGCGGCCTGCCCGGTCCTGGGCGTCTGGCCGGGCCCCCCCGGCCAGCAGCAGCCGGGTGCAGTCCAGGTCCACCTGAAGGGTCCCCCCAGCCTTGGCGGAGGCGGCGAACACCGCCAGGTGCAGGGCGGTGGCCCCGGTGTGCTGGATGACCTGGTGGATGTCTGCCCCGCAGTCGAGCAGCGCGGCCGTTACCTCCGGGCTCAGGGTCCCGGCCGCCATGTGCAGCGGCGTCATGCCAAGGCGGTCTGTGGCATTGACGTCGGCCCCGCTGCCGGCCAGGATGCCCACCGCAGGCGGCGCCCTGTAGCGGACGGCCAGGTGCAGGGCCGTGTGCTTGCAGCCGCTCGCCACCTCGGCGTTGATGTCGACCCCCGCGCGGCACAGCAGCCCGAGGCAGGCCTCGGCGCGCCGCTGCATGGCGGCCATGGCGCGCTGGAACTTGGTTTGCGGCTTGGCCCAGGTGGCGGCGATCGAGGGCCAGTGGGTGATCACGAGGTGCAGGGCTGTCCTCCCCCGCAGGTCCCTGGGGAATCGAGCAGTGACACCGATATCCCCACCTTGCTACAGCTATAGCATTGATCATGAGCCTCTCGTCCTCGCTGTATTACACACCATAGGCTGACTTGATGAACAGAACAAAAGGAGCGTGATTTCCCGTGCAACTGCGCACATCATAGCTGACAATGGCAGCGCCAGTATTACAAAAACTTATAAAGTAAGAAAATAACCGTGTTCATAACGATCGGCAGCGATATTATATATACTGGCATGTTATAAATTGGAGCTGGGCCTCGTTCGGGATTGGAGGAACGGGCTGGCCTGGCCTGTGGGCTGGTGGAGATCCGATGGTCACCTCATCTCGGGATTGGCTCCGGACAGGAGCAGGCGCTCCAGGCTGTTCTCCTTCCTGTAGGTGGCAGCCAGGTGGATGGGCAGCACCGCCTGACCCGGGACAGCCCAGAAACAGAAGTATTAGTACCGTGTTCCGTTTAATCAGCTTTTAATCGGACTTGTTCAAGAATGCTGGCCAACCACCAGCCACAGCAAAACAGCGATATGAAAATTAAAGGATGATTCAAGTTCCTTTTCAAACAGCAAATTAACCTAGCAGGCGTCCTTACAAATAATGTGAGATCAGATGTCTGAGAACTTGGCTCTGCTGATGAAAAGGGCACGCAGCAGTTATTTGTGTTTTTGTTTGATGGAGGGAGAACATGAGTTTTGACAGTTTTGGTGCAACGATTCATATAACAATCGCATTTTCTCACATGCACGCCCTCCAGAGTAAAGCGGAATATTGGCCGCCGGTGTGGTGGGTTCATTCTGTTAGCTGTGCTGCTCGACTCCTCAGTGAGCCGAGTTTCACATTACAGTGCAGTGACTGGAGCTTTGACGCTGCACGATTTCGGAATGTGTCGATTGCAGAGGACCGTAGCGTTGCGGGAAAACAAGCGAAGTGAAAGGGTGTTTATTATGATCTGCGTTTGGCTTCACACTGTTCCGTTCACGGATTGGGGTGCGCAGTGAGGTGTGAGCTTCTCGCGGGCCTGTAGTAGGAGCATGCACATCCAGGTTACGTGCTTCGTTGAGCAGTAACGCGAGTAAAGCTCGAGTGTACTCGGGGAGCGAGCGCACGGGACAGCTGCTGCTTGCATGCCTGTTTTTAACGCACGATGAGTCGACCAGGATGACAAAAAGTAGACTGTCGTAATATTCACGCCTGTCCTCACACCACCCCCTGAAGACAGTTCGCCCTTAATAGTTACCTGTGTTTGGAGAGTCGGGACCAGTGCGCAGTCGTTCCAGATCTTGATGGGCTCATTGACCGGGTGAAACTGCAAGATCTCAACAAGGCGGTCCGTCTCCCCCTGCAGAATGGCTTCGTGCAGTTTGAAGTGTAGTTCGTTGTAGCCGTGTTGTCGGCACTCACAAACCTTCTCTGACCTGTTGGCCGACGTTTTGGAGTGGCTACGGCACGGGCCGTGGTGTTTCCTGTTCGTATTGCCCATTCAGAGCGTGAGAAACGTCTTCATCGAGGGAATAAGCCGGGTCGTCCGGGGTCTCGCTGTCCGAGATCGTATGTACGCGCATTCGGTTCGAAAGTGACGCCATAAACGTGTTATTAAACGAATCTGCGTCCCAGAGGGATGCCGTGTTGTGAGTTTTTAATGCTCCTGGGGTCTAACGTCAGTTATCGTTGCCATCTCGGTTTTCCTAACGATAGCAGGATGTGACTTTCAAAACCGTCCGATGTTAATGGCTCGTCAAAATTGGCTGCGGTCACGAAAGTGACTGCTTTCCACCCCATCGGCGGAAGTGGGTTTTGCTGCGGACCGGGTGGCACGCATCGACATGCCCTCTGTAATAAAGGTGCTTGACGTCCGCTGGGAGACGTGCATGGCCACCTCTCGGGGTCCCAGGGGATGAGAGGTTTGGGTCCCGCTAGATTCGTGACGGTTTACTCTTCCCGGCCTTGCAGCCCAGGAACATTTTCCTCCACGGCCGGGACTGCCGCGTGAGGATCGGAGACTTCGGCCTCGCCTGCAGGGACATGATCGTCGATGACAGCGGGCCCTCATTCCCAGACACCTGCACCATCGGTGAGGGACCGCTTTAATTAGACTGCGACCCACACAGCCTTCTCTCTAATTGACGCCTTCGGATTGCGAATCGGAAGACTCGTGCTTGATGTTTTCTGGTCAGTGTGGGGCTCTCTTAAACTTTTTAGTCCTGCACATAATTGACGAGCATTTCATTACGTTTGTGCATATGACAGATAAGCTGAACTGAACATTGCATTCTTTTATTTTTTTTTAAATGGTGTTAAAGTGCAGTGCTGTTACTGAAAGTATAAAATAAACTTTATGGTATGGCCCGACCTGGCGTAACATTGCAGTGAAGTCAGTTATAGGTCTTGAGTCAGGTTCAACAGCTCCAGCAAAGAAAGACAGGACTGCAGAGTGTCAGAGCTGCTGAAACCTTACTGGATTGTGTTTGTCACAGGTTCTGCACATACCACTGGTGTGGGGACGTACGTCTATGCTGCTCCAGAACAGCGGGAAGGGTCTCGTTACGACTACAAGGTATTCTGCCACGTTCAGACGACAGTGCCAACAGCAACCTTAAATCACCTCTTCCAGCTGACCTTGGCATCACTTCTCATCTGCACTGTAGCAATATTTAAATGGGAGGCAGCGCTTCTTACGAGGAGCCCCGATTAAAAACACCGTCATGAAAAGGTGTAGTGTCTCGCTTAGCTGGAAAGGAATACTGTTTAGTGTGTTTTGCTATGGGTGCCATCAGAATTCTTCCTAATTCCTAATTTAAATTCTTATTCTCTGGTTTAAATTCTAAAACCAAATATATACAGTTAATACAAGATCATGCTTACAACTGCAAGTGAATCGCAAAGCGTTAACTTGGAAAACCCGTTTTTTCTTTAAAACCAAGAAGGTGGAAGGTATCCCACTCCAGGTGATGATTAATGGACGAGTGCGAAAGGTGGGTTGTGGTCTTCCTGGGAGAACAGCCTCGCAGTGATGCCGATGCTGTCGTCCGCAGTCGGACATGTACAGCGTGGGGATCATCGCCCTGGAGCTCTTCCAGCCCGTCAGGACGGAGATGGAGAGGGCACGAACGCTGGAGCAGCTGCGCGTGGGGACGATTCCCGAGGCCTTCGCCCAGCGCTGGCCCGTCCTCGCCAAGTACATCCAGCGGCTGATCAGCCCGGATCCTGCTCTGCGGCCCAGCGCCGCCCAGCTGCTGCAGAGCGAGCTCTTCCACCACACTGATGAGGTGAGGCTCAGGGCCCCGCCTGCAGCACCGCAGCCTGCCAGCAGGGGGACAGGCGCCTGCAAGGAAGTTGACTGGTCGAAGCAGGATGTGCAGTGCAGTGCGCTCCGCTCGTTCAGGTCTCGAACCCGTTTCATCCTTATTTTACCCCCAGTCTCGTAGAATGTGCAAAACAAAGATGGGATTCTGATGCCGTTTCTTAATTTGTTTTCCACGTTTTTGTATTTAGAATTATTGATTAGCAATTGGAAAGAATTTACGCCACTGTGTTTGCAGTGTCATCTTCTGCATCAGTCGTTCTGAACCTGGAGACATGCTGGATTTTTTTTTTTTTTTAATGTGAATTTAAAACCAAAGAACAGAGGGTTGTGGCAGTTTAGAACAGGCTGCCCATCCATGTTGTGGGAGCCAGTGCCCTGGCTCTTCCCAGGACAGATCTCCGGCAGTCCTCAAGCGCGTAGCTGCTAGCAGAAACAGGCCGGGTCCGTATTCTCGCCTCTCGCTTGGTCTAGCACCAGGAGGGTGACGCTGAACTCCTCCTGCCCCTCTCCCGCAGGTGATCCATTCCTTACAGAGGAAGGTGGCGGAACAGGAGGTGGAGATTGTGCAGCTGCGGAGGCAGATCAGCGAGCTCCTGCAGGCCCAGCGCAGTGAGGACCCGCGCTAGTGGAGCAGAGGACCCCTGGCAGCTGCTGTACAGAAATGTGAATTTGTAATTTACCGAGAATACCGGCTTATGTTTCTTTTGTATTGTTTTAGCATAATGGCTGCTTTTAAAGCGATGCGTTATTTAATTAGGTTTTGCCTTTCTTTAAGGTCCATAATAAAACATTCGTCTACAAGGGCAGTGGGTTCTGGAAAGTATTCAACCTATGATGAGTGGTTAAATGAGATCAGATTCTCTGGACAGTAACAAAGCATCTGCCAAAGAATTTCACAAAATAAGGACTTCAAAGTCATCCAATGTGGAAGATTTTTTTTATTTTTTAGAAGAAAAACTTCTACAAATGCTGCTTTACATTAAAAGTATTTTTTAGCTTACAGTACTTAACATTTCCACCACTGAGTCAGAACCCAAATAACATTTTTAAATGGGTACTAAACCTGCACAGCTCTAGATCATATAGGCACAAGGTGGGAGGGAGCATTTTCCTTAGTATTGAGACATCTTGAGGTCACTCTTCACTTGAATATGATGCAGAAGCCTCATGGGGACCGCATCAGCTGGGAGACGCAGGTAAAGTATCCCGAGTTCTCGCAGGACTTGATCCACTTCTGCACGTTGGTGGGGACGGAGCTGGTGCTGGCAGACTGCAGCACGGCGCAGAAGCACACGATGTCAGCAAGCGACAGCTCCGAGCCCGCCAGCCACGGAGACCGGCCCAGAGCCCCGTTCAGAGCCCGCAGCGCGGCAGCTTTCTCCTTGCTGCTGCCCTCTACCAGCTGGAAGAAGGCCGTGTCCACCCAGCTGTCCACCACAGTGGCCATCACGGCGTCCTGTGGCCCGCAGCCCAGCAGCCTGTACAGGAAGCGAGCGATGTTGCCCTCCCCTTCGATGTGGCACATGTTCTGGATGCTGAACTTCATCTGGGGTTTGGGCACTAGACCAAAGAGAAGGGCAGAGGTGAGGTTCGGGCAGAGACTGGAGCAATTAACTCAGCACGGTGCCACTACGCATTCTAATGGTATCAGGGATGCAAGCAAGGCAGGGTGCTTTCCGAAAACGTTTTCATCACCTGAATCGGACTCCTTTCGAATTCTGCCAGGTCTTTCATAAAATTCTCTCAGAAAGAAGTTTGCACCACTTGACTACACTAACAGCAGATGCATAAGATAAGCAGCCAGATGCTGTATCTGTTGTTAGTGTGGTTCAGTTCTTTTCAATTCTGTAGGCCTTTCTCAGGACCACATTCCTAAGTTAAAATTGAAGTAGAAGGTGTTCTGCGAGTTAGAGAAATCCTCATTTGGAAGGGTGTGACATTAAAACCCTATAATCCATTATGCACACAATCAAAACCTCAAAAACATGCTATGCTGTAGATTTGATGTTAGTTACATGTCCTTGAAGGATGCCGACTTTTTTTTTTGAAAATGAACATATTCCCTCTTTGACAATTTTAACAATTTTACATACCCACTAGGTGTCAAAATATTAAAAACCACGGTGCTACATTTCTCACGTTTATGGTATGATCGGCAAACAAAGAGAAGAATGAAGAAAGACCAGTGGACCTGTTGGGCCCAGGGCAGCAAGCGGAACAGGCAGACGGGCTCTTCGCTGGTCCTATGAGGCTCTGACCTGCTCCTGCTCTTACCATCTTTCCATATCAGCGTGAAGCCCAGCTGGAAGTCGTGGCGGGAGCAGCTGACGGGGTCGCGTGGGCCGAGGCAGGCCAGAAGCCCCGGGGGGACGGAGGGGACGGAGGAGTGGACGTGCGCGGTGGACAGCACCCTGTAGCGCTGCCGCAGGAGGCTGTGCAGCACCAGCAGGGCCAGGGGCGGCCGCGTGGGGTTGGCGTTGACCACGATGTCCCTGAGCGCGCCGTTGTCCTGCAGGCGGCAGCACACAAGCCAGCGGTCAAGCTACACAGTCCGCTGCGGGCTCACCTGCAGTGTTTCATGCGCTCCATCGGCCATCGGCCTGCCCATTCACAGGAAGGGCAACACAAGCAGCAGGTGGAACTGGCACAGCACTCAGTGTCCCCTGCGCTAAAACCCCACCTTATCCCTTATAAAGATGCCCAGTGAGGCCCACCCCGTCCACCACCTGTAAACTCAATCGGCGGATGAAAGGCGGTGGCTCTCCGGGGGCCAGCGCCAGCAGACACTTGCCTTGCCCAGCAGCGAGTCCAGACCTGCGGCGCCGGCGCCGGGCGCGTGGCCCACGTCCCGGGACACGCTGGTCACGTCAACGTCGGCGTCGGGCGTGGCGATGGCCTTGGACAGCCCCTCGACGGCGGCCTTCAGCTCCAGCAGCCGGCGCAGGATCTCGTCCTGCCGCGCCTCCAGGGCCCGCACCGCCGGGTCGGCCTCTCCGTCCTGGGGGCGATCGGCGGCCGGAGCCGCGGTCAGCGAGCAACTCCAGAGACCCGCCAGCCTGACAGGGGGCACTCGCCGCCACGCACAGCCCACTTCGCAAAGGCAAGAGCCGGACCGATCTCGCCACGGGCCAGGGCTCCCCCGATACCCGCAGATCCCAGGCCTTCACAGCTACGCGACAGTCACGCCGGCGGAAAACCTCAACCACAAGACCGCTCTCCACCCTGCCTGGGTGGCAGCTCCGACTGGCTCGTGTCTCCTGCAGCCTGGAGGAGCAGGCAGCTGTTCTCACACTGCCCGGAGCGAAGCAGCTCCGACTGGCTCGTGTCT